CATTGGAACTCAAAGGTAAAAAGTGTTTGGTTAATATTTTTATTGGAAAATCACTACCCTTGAAAATAACTCTATGCCCTTTTGACCCAATTTATTGATTAAACATCTCATTTGGTATTCTGTCACTTCTTGGTGCCTTGTGCAGCTTGGATTGCTTCCTTCAGTACCATTGGTTCTTCTTTTTTTTTTTAGTAAAATGTTTACAACCAGTTTGATTCCCGTTTGACATTTTCCACACAAATGCTTCAGTGACATGTATCCCAGTGTGTTAGCATTCTCTTTAACTATGTTCACTTTGTTCTTCCTCCCGTGCTCTAGTTCCCCTTATCATTTTTGTTTTTGAGAAATTGTTGACCTTTACCCACTGACATCGAGTTGATTCCAGCTCGTAGCAATCCTGTATAGGGTTTCTGACTCTTTAAATCTTCACAGGAGCAGAAAACCTCATCTTTCTCCCGCAGTATGACTGATGAGTTTGAACGGCCAACCTTGCAGTTAGCAGTTCAGTACTTACCTTCAGTGTCAACAGGGATTCCCTTTGTTAAGTGCTGTCAAGTTGGTTTTGACTAAAGTGACTGAGAAACAGCTGATGGATTTGAAACACCAACCTTGTGGTTAGCAGTCTAGTGTTTATCCTACAGAACCACACTAGGACTCTAGGAAACCCCTTAGGTAGGGCAGTGATCTTATGGGTAATATCTTCTATTTTGTGTAGCACTCTGCTATTTTGGTAGAAGGTAGTTTTCAAGATAAGATCAGTTCAAGATTTAAAGAGTATCTCAAAAAAAAAGATATCTCAGAGTGATATTCTCAAGGCATCCCCTGTTAAGTATTTTTGTAGTTGTTGTTTTCTAATTTTTTTACAACTAGAGTTTTTCCATATTTTATTTTTCTCCCATTCTATCCAGGATCAGAACTGTTGTGTCCCTAGTCAGTTATTGGTTGTAGCCAGGTACCCTCTAGTTCTTCTGGTCTCAAGGTACATGGGGTTGTAAATACCATCAGTTCTTTTTGATACAATGACTCTGTGTATTCCTCTTATCTTTTTTTTTTGTTGACTCCTCCATCATTCAGTATTTTGCCCATTGTTGTTGTTAGATAGGTGCCATCAAGTCAGTACCGACTAAAGCGATCTTATGCACAGCAGAATGAAACATTGCCCTGGATCAACTTCACTACTTTTGCCACGCTTGAGTCCATCGATGCTGCCACTTGGCCAATCCGTCTTGTTGAGGTTCTTCCTCTTTTTCTCTGACCCTCCACCTTACCAAACATGATATCTTTCTGTAGCGACTGGTCCCTCCTGACAATATGTCTGAAGTATGAAAGACGAAGTTTGGCCATCTTGGCCTCCAAGGAGCACTCTGACTGCACTTCTTCCAAAATGGATTTATTGGTTCTTTTGGCAGCCATGGCACTTTCAATATTCTCTTCCAATACCATAACTCAAAAGTATCAATTCTTCTACGGTCTTC